GCTCCTAGGGCAGAGAAGCTGAGCTGGTCCCAGCACCTGCAAGGAGGCTCCCCCACTGCCATCCCAGGCTCCTAGGGCAGAGAAGCTGAGCCGGTCCCAGCACCTGGAAGGAGGCTCCCCCACCGCCATCCCAAGCTCCTAGGGCACAGAAACTGAGCCAGTCCCAGCACCTGGAGGGAGGCTCCCCCGCCACCATCCCAATCTCCTAGGGCAGAGAAGCTGAGCTGGTCCCAGCACCTGGAAGGAGGCTCCCCTGCTGCCATCCCAAGCTCCTAGGGCAGAGAAGCTGAGCCTCGTGGGTGCCAGAAGCAACCCACCCCCCCCACCGTGGAAATGAGGAGACATGTAAACAAGCCTCAAAAACAGACTTCTGGATCACCTACAGCAACCCCAAAGGGATATGAGATGGAACAATCTGATACTCAACCACCTGGACTCTCTGAACTGGCAACAAAAATGTAACCTCAAAAATTATTTGAGAATAAAGTGACAAGAACAGATATCAGATGAAAAAAGGAAATAGTAGTATATAGAATAATCTCAAATTGGTTTAAGAAAGGGAACTACATGAAAAATACATTAAAATGTTAATACTGATTACCTTTAAAGATACCTATTTTCCCCTACATCTTCTAAATTTTCTATTCTAAGTATGCACTGCTTTTATAATCAAAACAATAGTATCACTTAAAAGTAGTTTAAGAACACTGATATTCCCCATGACATAGCAGAGTCAAAAAAAATTCCAAAACTTCATCTTTTAAATGATGATAAAGATCTAACATTTTATTTTATTTTTTATTAGTATTTGTTCGCAACACATATTCAATACATGTATCATGGAGAACTGGTGCATACACATATCCCATCTTGAAGATCTAACACTTACTAGCTCAGACAAATCTATCCTCTGATACAAAACACTATCTAAAAAGTACCTAGGCCTGGGGATTTAGCTCAGTGATTACACTGCCTGCCCTGCAGGCACAAGGACCTGAGTTTGATCCCCGGTACCAAAAATAAATAAGTAAGTAAGTAAGTATCTGTTCCCACCATCTATTCCCACTGTCCCTAATCATACCTAAGTCAGATCAAGTCTCTAGCTCTACCAGTTAACAAGAGAAACAAAGGATGGGCAACATGTTAATGTGGTGAAAACATAACTGAAAAAAATTCAGAACCATGGGCCGGGGATTTAGCTCAGTGGTTCTGCTGCCTGCCTCGCAAGCGCAAGGACCCGAGTTCGATCCCTGGTACCAAAAAAAAAAAATTCAGAACCTGAAACAGCACAATACAAGCCAGATGTGGTAAAGCACACCCTATAAGCACAACTACTTGCTCTGTAATCCCTGCTACTCAGTAGGTTGAGGGAAGAGGATCACAAGTTTGAGGCCAGCTTGGGCACTGTAGCAAGATCCTCTCTCAAAATAAAATAAAAACGACTGAGGATGCAGCTCAGTGGTAGAATGCTTGCCTAACACACATGGGGCCCTGGGTCAAATATCTAGTACTAGGAGTAAAAAAAAAAGACAACCTCATGTCTTCACAAAAAATTCTAAAGAAATCAAAAATAAGAATAAGAACTTATAGTTTAAAACAGACTTTAAAAACACATCAAGTAGCCAGGCATGGTGGAGCATGCCTGTAATCCCAGCACTTTGGGAGGCTGAGGCAGGAGGATAGCAAGTTAAACCCAGCCTAGGCCAGGGATTTAGCTCAGTGGTTCTGCTGCCTGCCTTGCAACCACAAGGTCCTGAGTTCAATCCCTGGTACAAAAACAAACAAACAAACAAACAAAAAACCCAGTCTGAGCAACTTAGCAAGACCAAGTCAAAATAAAAAATAAAAAAATAGTTAAGGGCTGAGGATTGTAGCTCAGTACAAAGGTTATGGTTCAATCCCCACCACCACAAAAGTCTACTAATGCAATTTCTGAACATTGTTTTCTTATTCAATGGAATCAACTATAAAAAGAAAAAGTACAGGGAAATTTGAATACTGGCTATCTGGTATTAAAGAACTGTCAAAAAAAAAAAAAAGAAAAAAATTTAAAAAAAAAAGAACTGTTAGTTTTTTAAGGCATGATAGCGGTATTATAATTATGTTTTTAAAGGAATCCTTATCTTTTCAAATTATAAATTAAAAGATGTACAGTTAAAATGAAAAAATAAAGACTGAAAAAATGAAACCTGAGTTTACTCACAGAATGGTTTTATATATATAAATGTTTAAAAGGCAAATTATTAAAAATTGCCTAGTATACTCATTTCTGCAGCATGTGTACTAAAATTGGAGTACAGAGATTAGCATGGTTCCCATGCAAGGATGACTCACAAATTCATGAAGTGTTCCATATTTTTTCTTAAAAAAAAAAATAAACTGTCTACTTTAGTTATAAAGTATACTCTAGTCCTACTTCTGTAAAATTATATGTAAATATATATGAACAAAATATCTGGTTAAAAAAAACAACTGTTATATCTTTCTATGGTTTTTCCTTCAAAATAATAATCAGACATATTTTTATAATTAAAATTAAGAGTGAGATTTGGGGAGAAGATATCTACTTCGCAAAAATATTTGATTATTCTGAAAGGTTTTAGATTAGACAGGCATTAGCCAAACTGCTGCATCTATTTTGTTAAAGTAGTTCAATTTTGTGTCTAAAGTACTGTAATGACAGACCCAGGCTTTTCACAATGCACCCTGTGAATCCCAGGAGTCACAGCATAAGCTGCCTAAGGTCAGATGATGAAGGAAGACAATCACCTACCTGGAAGTGAGCGCACAGATAACTTTGCTCCACTGTTCCACCACTGCCGGGTGGTGCCTCCAGTTAGCCACCATCTCCTTGGCTGTCTTCCAATAAGGAGGTGTTGGGAAGCACCGAGTACAAGCTAGTAACCAAACCTCAAAGAGAACACCAATCAATTTCTCTGCTAGATTCTCAGCAATTCCACCTGACAAATGAAAGAAAAAAAATCTTTAATTCACTAGTTTGGAAAAACTGGTCAAAAATTAAAATACTTGCAATATTAAATATTGACTTGCAAATAAATATTCAATAGTAAAAATGAAAATTAATCATTAAGTGTGCCTATACAGGAAATCAGAGACAACATGAACAGATTAGAGTGTTAAAGTTGCCTTGCCGGTTCTTACTAAAGATCTAACCTTCTAGCAAGGGACACCCAAGTACAAAAGGGAGAAAGGAAAGGATGAGTGACTACAAGTTAGTTTCTATGTAAGAGTTGGTACACATGACCTCACATAATCCTCACATTATTTTTGCAGAATAGGCACTTCTAACATGTATTATCAATTATTAATTATACCACTTTGAAAACAAGTAAACTTAGGTTCAGGAAGATTAAGTAACTCATCCAAGTTCATGGAGCCAACAGGGAAAGAAATCAGAACAAATACCCAGGTCTTCCTAGCTCCAAAGTTTGCCATAAAATGCTTCACGTGTTTGAAAGATACCCTTCAAAAGAGAACATACAGAAGCAAAAGGGCTGGTGCTGTGTAGGAAAGAGCCTTAACAGAACTGTTCCTCTGTTCTGAGCATCAGAACCAGAAAGACTAATAGCAGTGGACTTTATTCTGCAGTGCTCCCAAAGGCAATGTTAGGACTAGTAGGAAGAGTAATAAGGATGCATATTTCAAATGAACAAAACCAAAGGTCCAACAACAAAGAGCCCAAGAAGGGGATGAACTGCCTGCCTTGAGCTGCTGAGATCACTGGCATGGGAAGCGAGTGGCAGAGAGCTGTTGACACAATGACTGCCCAACTACTGTCAATACTAGACAGGGTATTCTTATGCTGGGGTCCCTTTCTACACTATAATTTTCTCTTAGTTACATTTTCTTGTTGCTGAGACAAAATACCTGACACCCAAAGTTAAAGGAGGAAAGGTTTATTTAGCTCACAGTTTGTAGAGGTTTCAATTCTTAGATGGCTGGCTCCAAAGCAGGGTGACATGGCAGAGGGGTATCACAAAGAAACAGTTCATGGCAGGCAGAAAGCAGCAAGGCAGCAAGCAGCAAAGCAGCAAGGAAAGTAGCAAGCAAGTGACAGCAGCCCTCTTTCTGTCCTATATTCTATCCAAGCTACATGCCTTTAGGGCCCATAGCACTCACACCCAGGGTGAGCCTACTCATTATCCACACCCAGAACTATACCAAACCAATCAGTGGACTAATTTAGGAATCAAACACCCTGGATCCCAGCTTTACACACTTAATCCCAGCATCACACACTCTAGATCCAGCCACCTCTGAAAGGCCCCACCTATGACCACATGAGACTTTGGGCAGACATCTAGACACAACCCATAACAAATTCCATGATTCCTTTTAGATATTTTCCTTAGACACTGCAACTGTGTGACAACATTAGCACATCTGCATGTGTCAGTAAAGAGAGTATACAGATGAATAAGCAACAACTAGAACACCTGGAACTAGAACATCAATTTACAGTTTATGTACACTGTGCTTTAACATACAAAGCAGGGCTTCTGAAAAACACTCTGAAATTTTATAAAACTGTAGGCTTTGGCGGGAGTGGGTAACAGAGATCGAACTCAGGACCTTGTGGTTACAAGGCAGGCACGGTGCTGCTGAGCTACATCCTCAGCCCAAAACTGTAGGTAAAATGGCTAATGAATAGCATACTGTTGTATTTCCAAAAAGAACACTTTAAAACAGGTTTCATTTGCTAACAAAGTATCTTCTGTCATTGCCAAGTCTGCATACTCTATACTTTGGTAACCACTTTGCCAATACATACATTATCTATAGGATCTAATTTACAAATTTCTTTTTTTGGTACCAGGGATCGAACTCAGGACCTTGCACTTGCCAGGCAGGCACTAGTGTTCTAATGCTTATCAAATATGTATAACTCATTGTGTCCTTCCCTACATTAGCAAAATTACCACTGAAGGTAAATAATTTTCTTAGCCACACTGCGCCTTTGAAATTCCCATTCTAAGAACTGTTAACCTTAGTGGGTCAACTGTCATACCAAAATTTAAATCCCCAACAAGTCTATTGCTCACTGAGTTTAAATGTGAACTGTATATGGAGCTAGGAAATAAATAAGAAAAAAAAATAAACAAACCTTGAACAGTTGGCGGGGCCAGAAGTATATCATTAATCTGCAGAAGAAACAACAGTAAAACTTCCCAGGTTTCTCGGGCCATGACGGATGACTCACGGGCCAGTTTTTGAATGGCTCTCAGGACCTGTAAGCATAGTCGGATCTGGCTGGAGCCCTGTTCCTGTCTGAAGAAGACAGACAGATATCACTGACAAGTGTGAAAGAGAGCAATAGCCAAAGAACAGGAAACTTACAGATGTAACAAGCAGTGGTTCAATGAAGCTCCCTAGGAGGATCAGTTCACAGACTGAGCACATGCTCCTCAGTTTAGAGCCACTTGTTCCCTTATATACTCTGGGATCTCAACCTACAACTCCTACAGAACTTAAGACAGCTTCTGGCAGGAAAGGGAACACTAGAACACAAACTTCACTTTTGGATTTTCTATGCCTAAAACTTGCCTGGCACATAATAGCAGACTCTCAATAGGTTTCTGCTAAATAAATGAGTACCCCAAATCATTCCTGCTGCTCACACTGAAGCAGAAAGAACTTTGTATCTTAATTTTTTAAAGCACACACTCACAAGAATTCTGCATGTGATTTCACAGTGCTCAGAGTCCCGTCAAAGCTAATGTCTGTTTGGGAAGAATCTGAGGAGGCTGATGAAATGTCCAAGATTGATGAGAAGTTAGAGAAATACTGCTTCACAGATGAGCACTTGCTATTGTTGCTCTAATTAAAAAAAAAAATTGGGGCACCAGAGATTCCCAAGATACACTAGAGCTATAATTTAAAAATTCACTTTATCATCTGCAAGACTGTTCCAATGGAAGGCCAATCTATAAAATAGATCAAAGTATCATGTCTAGAGTGAAAAGGAAGATCTAAGCCCCAGCCCTCACTCTATTTCCCCAAGGTGGACCACTTGACAATGCCAAGAATAGGAAAGAACCCACTACACATTAGCAGTAAATGCTGCTGCCCTCCAGACTGCTCACGTGAAACCCAAGATAGCATCCATATTAGTAAAATAAACCTTGAGATTGAGTGTCTATGTATTGTGACTTGCTACAAAGAACTGGTAGAAATATGTCTGCATCAGAATAGGAATTTCAGACCCTCCTCAACAAATTCTGAAAAATAAAGGAAGTGACTCTGGAATTCTCACCTCAACTTTATAATACAGATTCCCAGTTTCTGGGCCATGATCCAGGAAAGTGCACACTTATTCTGGATTTGAAATCAAAACCACTAAACTTTACCTAAAAAAGTCAGACCTAACGCAAAATGATGAGACAATCACCCCAGAAAAATTATGTAACAGCCCCAAACCTTATCTAGCTACAGAAGAGGAAGTCTAGAATAAGAAATAAAAATACCACTAGTGGTCCTGGGGCTGACACTCTTCCAAGCAGCAGTAATACTGCATGCTTCCAATGGTCACTGAGGTTTATCCAGTATTTCCAGGTACCTGTGTAATAGCAGGAAACAAATGCTCCTCTAGTACTTTAGCCTCACTCAAAAGGACTAAATTCAGAATCAGGATCCACGTTTCTAAAGCTAGGAGAAACAAGGTAGTCTTTACATAAAGATGAACAAAAAAGCTGAGCACAGTGGCGTACATCTGTAATCCAGGCACTCAGGAGGCTGAGGCAGGAGGATCAATGAGAGTTTAAGGCCAGCCTGGGATATATAGTGAGACTCTCAAAAACAAAACAAAACCAGAAAATCTAAACACCAGGGATTTTCCTTTCTTTCCAATAGTCTCAAAAGTAACTGTGGTCTTTAGAAAAACCACTTTGGGGCAAGGGCCAGAAAATTATAGCCATTAGGTCAAAACTAAACTACCACCTGCTTTTGTAAGTAAAATTCTATTGGAACACACCCATGCTCCTTCATTTATGTAGTCCATGGCTGCTTTCCTGCTACACCAGCAAAATTGAGTACTTATAATACCATATGGCCTAGAAAATTGAAAATATTTACTATCTAGCTCTTTAGAAAAAATTTGCTGACCATTGCTTTAGAACATTGTTTCTTAAAGTACATATACACATTATATTTGGGCAATTAAAAATGAATTTTAGAAGATGGTTCACTTCACTTAATTAGGAAAAAAAATTAAAATGATGGACAAAAGAGAAAATTACACTTATTCTGATTTAACTTCTAGCAAACTGGAAAAGGCAGTTTCCTCTGAGTCAGTTTATTTAAAAGCAACTAGTTAAGTAAATTTAGATGACAATTTCACAAATCTAAATAAAAAACTGAAAGGTCTAATAGTAGATCATAACTCCTAATATTTACCACTGAAAATATTCAGTTTGCCAGGCATGGTGGTGCATGCTTGTAATCCCAGCACTCTGGGAACCTGAGGCAGGATGATCGCAAATTTGAACCCAGGCTCGATGTCTTAATGAAACTCTGTCTCAAAAAAAAGTTTTTTAAAAGGGGTAGAAGGGGCTGGGGATTTAGCTCAGTGGTGCCACCGCCTGCCTTACAAGTGCAAAGTCCTGAGTTCGATACCAAATAAATAAATGAATGAATGAATGAATGGGGTAGAAGGCTGGGGATGTAGTTCAGTGTGAAGGTGCTGGGTTTAACCTCTAGCACCACCAAAAAAAAAAAAAAATCAGCTAATCTCTACATACCATCACTGGCCAGGAAAACTCTAATATCAATTCAGTACCCTTTCAAAATTTACTGACTTTTATGCATACCCACTTGTGAAAAGAACAAGCTAATTATCAAATAGCAAAACAATTTATAAAGTAGTTATGTTTCTTAAAAGAAAAAAAGAGTAAAGCTGGGCATGAGACTGAGGCAGGAGGACAGTTCAAGCCCAGTCTGGGCAATTTAGTGACTGTCTCTAAAGGAAAAGATTAGTGGTTGGGGATGTAGCTTAGAGATTCCTGGGTTTGATCCCCAGTACTGCAAACAGTGATACAGGCTCAGAGAAGGTGTGGTCACTATGGACCTAGGTGGTCAGGTAAGACTCCTTACAAGGCAGAATTTGAGATGAACCAATAAGAGCGAGATGTAAACAACCAGACAATGGAGAGGAGAAAGAAGAAAACAAAAGGGTAGATGATGATGGGAAAGATCTCTAATAAGTTTCGCAGAATGTTTAATTTGAGTCTGACTAAAGAGCAAGGCTCACACAGAATTAGCAGCAGTAAATCTGGTTAGAGGCCAGCTTAAAATTGGCATTTTGAGTAAGAAAAGGAGTTTACCAAAATTCTTTTTTTTTTCCCCCCAGCAGCGGGGATCAAACTCAAGACCTTGCAGTTGCCAGACAGATGCAGTGCACTGAGCTACATCCCCCGCCCTGAGACCAGAATTCTTTTTTTTTTTTGGTACCAGGTACCAGGGATCGAACTCGGGTCCTTGCACTTGCGCAGCAGGTGACAAAACCACTGAGCTAAATCCTCGGCCCAAGACCAGAATTCTTAATGGAGACTTTGCTTTTCTAACTTGGGTTTCCCAAAACATACTTCCTTCTAAATTTAGAAAGTTACAATCTAAAAGAGCTGGTTTTTGAGTGATTCAAAGCCCTTAACCATCTGAAAGACCAAAAGCTCTAACCAGAACTTTCCAAAAGAAGGAAATGGTCATCAACTCTTTCCCAGCCATAACACATACCTAAAAAACAGATCTTCATGAATAGGCAGGAAATTAATGCTTTCTTCTCCACTTTCTATATTTCTCAAAATTTATTTGTTTTTGTTTTTGACACAGGGTAGTACTTCAGGTTATGCCGTTCAGGCTGGCCTTGAACTCACTATGTACCCCAGACTGGCCTCAAATTCACAGCAATCCTCCTGCCTCAGCTTCCCAAGTGCTCAGATTATAGGTCTGTACCATGCCTGGCTCCAAAATTTATTATAAGGATATATTATTCTTTGGTGGGGTGGTAATGGAGTGATATTCACAGCCTTGTGCACACTAGGTAAACATTCTACCATTGAGCTACATCCCCAGCCCAGAATATTCTTTCAGAATCAGAAAAAATATTTGGTACAAGTAAGGCAGATATTGCACATTATAATACTTAAGACTTTTACCTCAGAAGATGGGGAAAAAATTAGTAACAAACTTTCAAGAGTAATACTTTGGTCTACCATACATTTGCTCATAATAAATTCAAGTTTGCTTTTTTTTTCCTTCTGTGTGTGTATGTGTGTGTGAGTGCCTGTACATGTGGTACTGGGGATTGAACCCATGGCCTTTGCATTGGGCTACATCTCCAGCCCTTTTATATTTTTTATTTTGAGATATGATCATGTTATGTTGCTAGGTTGGGCTCAAACTTGTGATCCTCCTACCTCAGCCTCCAGGGTGCTAGGATTAAAAGCATGTACCACCATGCCTGGTTTAAATTTTCTTATTTCTATGTTATCATTCACTCATAGGAAAGATTCATCTTGAAGTAAAAGGCTTAGCTGCCTTTACCTTAAGTAGAGACAAGAGTTACAATGGGCAAAAGTGTGTTTTTTTAAGCAGAAGAGAAAGATATCATCATATTTTAATATCTAACAGCTATCAGATCTTAGAAGTAAAGCCAAAAGCCTACAAAATGAACATACAGGCTGGGGATTTAGCTCAGTGGTTCCACCGCCTGCCTCGCAAGCAGAAGGACCTGAGTTTGATCCCTGGTACCAAAATGAACATACATTTATTAAAAACTCCTGGAAAACAGTATACAAGCCCATCTCCCTTATTCATATTACTATATTCTTTTAACTGAATAATGACACTATTCACAGGACTGGCAATGAAATCAGCTCCTATATATAATAAAGTAACATGTATAAAAATTTTATTATGATCCTAGAAACAGGCTAGACAGACAGGTGTAATTTACCTTGGTACAAAAAGATTTTGCAAATGTTTTAGTATACTTTGAACATAAAGATTAGGTTCTTTAATAACTGGCAATGGGATAGAATCTTTCGGCAATACTAAAGCCATAATCCAGTCTGTATATACATCAACACAATATTTTACAGTCTCTCCATCCAATGGAAGGGTCAGTCCATAGCAAATTACTTCCATTGTCCATTTTACCTAAACAAACAAAAAAATCCATATGAAATTATTATATATCCCCATATAAATCTCAGTAGACTAATTTAAAATGTTAACATCTTTTATTGCCAAAACCTCTAAACTGAAAGACAGTATATTCACCTCGAAATATATATCAGGTTTATTCTAAAGAACACACTTTTCATATATCAGATATGTGAAACATTTCCCAACCAAAAGATTGCAGAAGAAAATAAATTACTTATTTTTACATATTAAGATTGCATTTATTTTTATCCTTTAGACATTATTACCCCTCATCCTGAAATAAAAGGTCATTTCAATTTTTCATAGGTATTAGAGATGCAAAAATAGAAAACTGCAGATTTTTCTCCACCCAATTTGCATACCAGAACGTATATCACTTAATAAATCAGAAAAAAAAAAAGAAATCAGATACATAAATTCAATTACATTCCATACTCTCTGGTACCCTTAAACCTGTAAGCCATGCAAGGGTAGTCAGGGATGGAAATATGGGAAAGGTCAAACTCAGCACACATGTAGCCTTAAAACTTGACATAAGATGTGCTTCCGGTCAGAGATATTTAGGAGCAGGAATGAGGGCTTCCAAACATACCCCTACATGGACTCAGAAGAGAACCTACAGCTCAGGAGAAAGGGTCTGACACAAGTCTCTGTTTAGGGCACTTAGCTCAAATGGAGAATTATGCATGGCTAATAAGAAGTCCCAGCAGCAAAAAAGTAAGACCCATTCCTAATAACCCCCACAAACTCCAAGCCCCAGCTCTCAACCCAATGAGATAAAACCTGCCAAGTCACACTACAATAGGTGCAAATCAATTAAAAAGGCAACATTAAATACTTCTTCAATAACAAATTTATATTTTTACATAATAGAGTAAATTAAAGAACACTTACTTCTTTGTCAGTTTTTAACAAACTCTCATTACCAGCCACTGAAGAGGTACCTAAGGCCTGCCCAAGAGGGCGGACCACTGCATTTGCTACCTCTCGCCCAACGCTCTCTGGATAGCTATGCAGCACACTGGTATGACCCTGATCATTCTGAATCACCAAATGCAGTGATCTCCACTCCGAGTACATTGTGCCACTAAAGTACTATCCAAACGGCACCTGCAAAAAAACCAAAAAACAGATACAAGTTAAATTAATGAAAATACAGATTTACCCTAGGTGGCAATATAAAAAAGACTGCAAACCTACAGCCTCTAGAAAATAGAAAGAAAAAAAAAATCAAATGTTTTAGGAATGCCCCCAAATGGCTTCATGGTGAGATTGGCTAAGAGAAGCAGCTGTCTGAGGACCTACCCAAAGAACCTTCAGAGGTCCTGGAGCAAAGCTGAGGAGGATACCCACTGTGCAGGGGATTAAAATCATCAGATATGGAACCCTCATAGAATGAGGAACCTTGCCCCATTCAATGGTTCCAGAAGAGGAAAAATTTAAAAATGACAGAATGGAGTGCCCTAAGGAGGAAAGGGAAACAAAACATTTATACTAAGACCTATATTTTTCAATCAACATTTTCTGAGTACTGTCATTCCCTTTTATCCAAGGTTTTGCTTTTCAGTTGGTTACCTGTAGTCAACTGAAGTCCAACATGTTAAATGGAAAATTCCAGAAATGAACAATTTATAAATATTAAATTATGTCATCTGTGAGTAGCACAATCCCATCCCAGCCCATCCACTTGGGCCATGAATCATCCCTTTGTTTGGTGTACCCATATTTTATACACTACCCATCTGTTGGCCACTCAGAAGCCATCTTGGTTGTCGGATCAACTGGAATGGTATCAAAGTGCATATGTTCAAATAACCCTTACTTTACTCAATAATGGCCCCAAAGTCTAAGAGTAGTGATGTTGGAAATTAGGCTTTGTCAAAAAGAAGTCATAAAATGCTTCCTCTGAGTAAAAAGATTAAATGTCTCCACATGATAAGAAAATAAAGAAAAAATCATAGGCTGAGGTTTCTAAGCTCTACTGTAAGAACTTATATTCCTCAAGCTCTTCAAAGAAATTGAAAGGGATGGAGTGTCTCCAAATTCATTTATGGAAACCAGCATCACTCTGATTCCAAAATGAATAAAGACCCAACTGAAAAAGAAAACTATAGGACTATCACCTTAAGAGCACAGATGCAAAAATGCTCAAAAAGATATTAGCGAATAGAATACAGCTCATCATTAAAAAAGATCATACATCATGACCAAACTAAGTAGGTTTCATCCCAGAGATGCAAGGATAGTTCAACATACACAAATCAATAAATTTAATACATCACATAAACAGAAGCAAGGTCACATATCATATAAAAGATGCAGAAAAAGCTTTCCCTAAAATCCAATACCCCTTCATGATAAGAACTCTGAAAAGGGCTGGAGATTTAGCTCAGTGGCACCACACCTGCCTTGCAAGCACAAGGTCCTGAGTTCGATCTCCAGCCCCCCCCCCAAAAAAAAAACCTCTGAAAAAAATAGGTATAGAAGGACCATACCTGAATTTAATAAAAGCTATTTATGACAAGTCAATAGCCAACTTTATATTAAATGGGGTAAAACTAAAAGCATTCCCTCTAAAATCAGGAACAAGAAAAGGATGTCCACTAGCACTACTTCTATCCAACATAGTACTCAAAACATTAGCCAGAGCAATTAGGCAAGAGAAAGAAATAAAAAGGGATACATTTAGCAAAGGAAGAACTCAAATTATCATTATTTTCAGATGACATGGTATTTTATATTTTACATAGAGGACTCAAAGAATTCCACCAAAAAACTCTTAGAATAACCAACTCCAGAGGGGAATGGTGGTGCATGCCTGTAATCGCAGCACTTGGGAGGCTGAGGCAGAAGGATCACTGTAAGTTCAAAACCAGCCAGGGCTATATAGTAAGTTCAAGGCCAGCCTAAACTACATAGTGAGTAAAAACAAACAAACAGAAAACCCCACAACTTTAGGAATGTAGCAGGATACAAAATCAACACACAAAAATCAATAGCATTTGTGTACACCAATAATGAGCTCAATGAGAAGGAAATTATGAAGACAGTATCATGTCAAGAAAAATGAAATACCTAGGTATTAACCAAACAAACAGAATGAGAGACCTCTACAAAGAAAACCATAGTACTCTGAAAAAGGAAACTGAAGAGGATATCAGAAAATGGAAAGAGGGCCAGGGATTTAGCTCAGTGGTTCCACTGCCTGCCTAGCAAGCACATGGTCTCGAGTTCGATCTCCGGTACCAAAAAAAAAAAAAAAGAAAATGGAAAGATATCCCTTGCGCCTGGATAGGCAGAATTAATATTGTCAAAATGGCCATACTCCCAAAAGTGCTACACAGATTCAATCAAAATACCAATAGCACATTTCACAGACCTAGAAAAAACAATCCTAAATTTCATATGGAACCAGAAGAGATCCAGAATAGCAAAAGCAATCTTGGGCAACAAGAGCAAAGCAAGAGGCATCACATTATCTGACCTCCAGCTATACTACAAAGCAACAGTGATAAAAACAGCATGGTATTGGAACAAAACCAAACATGTGGATCAATGGAACAGAACAGAAGACACAGAAATATCCATAGCACATTCAGCTATTTGATCTTTGACAAATGGGCCAAAAGCATATATTGAAGGAAAGATAGCCTATTCAACAAATAGTGCTGGGAAAGTTGGGTATCTGTTAAAGATTGAAACTAGACCCGTGTCTCTTACCATACGCCAAACTAAAACCAAAATGATTCAAAGATCTAAACATTAAAACACAAACATTATGGACTATGTTAGGTAATACTACCATATCAATGTTAAATTTCCTGCTTTTAATACTATGGATTTTTAAGAGAATGTCCTTATTTGTACAAATAAACCCTGTGATATATGGTAGTAAAGAAGAAAAAAAAAGAGGCACTGAATCAACTGGAAAATAAAATAAGTAACAACATTTGAAGTCACAGATGTACGAAAACATTTCCTAACAGAATGGCAATTGCACAAAAAATAACAGCAAGAATCAACTAATGGGACTGTATAAAATTAAAAGGCTTCTGTACAGCAAAGGAATCAATTAGTAGAGTGAAAAGACAACCTACAGAATGGAAAAAAATTTTTGTCAGCTAATCCTTTGACAGAGGACAAATATCTAGAATATATAAAGAGCTCAAAAAATTAGATCATCTAAAACAAAAGACTCAACCAAGAAATGGGCAAGTAAAATGAACAGACACTTCTCGAAGGAAGAAATGCAAAGGCAAACAAACACATGAAAAAATATTCAACATCCCTGGCCATTAGAGAAATAGAAATTAAAACAACACTAATATTCTACCTTAAGCCAGAAAGAAATCAAGAAATCAAAAAATAAATGCTGGTGTAGCTTCAGGGAAAAAGGAATGTTGGTGGGAATATAAACTAGTACAACCATTATGGAAATCAGCATGGAGATTCCTCAAACTAAAAACAGAAATTCCGTATGACCCAGCTATCCCCTTCTAAGTATCTTCCCCAAAGAGCTGAAGACCTCATACTATAGGAATGCATACACACCAATGTTTACAGCAGCTCAATTCATAATAGCTAAATCTTGGAAGGAGCCTATATAACCCATCAGCAGATGATTAAAGAAAATGTGGTATTGCTGCGCATGGTGGCACACACCTATAATCCAGGAAGCTGAACTGGGAGGACTGCCATGAGTTCAAGGTCAGCATGGGTTACATGAGTTCAAAGACAGCCTGAACTACACAACAAGACCCTGTCTCAAAAAATAAAAATAAAATAAAATTTGAAAATAAAAGAAAATGTGATATCTATACATAATGGAATAATGGAATACTACCCAGCTAAAAGGACAGATTTGAGACATTTGTAGGAAAATGGATGCACCAGAAAAATCTTGAGTGAAATAAATCAGATACACAAGCTTAAATACCATTTTAGTATCTTTCGTTTGAGTAAAACAAAGTACAAAGAGCACAATTAAGGATGGATAGAAGACAAGAGGATAGATCTCTTACAAATGGGGAGGGGTCCAAGAGAACATAGGTAAGAGGAGAGGGGAGGGGAAAAGGAAAGGAAAAAAGTAGAATAAAGTCATGCCATATAGAGAAACCTAATAACTTCAATGAATATAAACATCATATGTCATAAACATGAGATAAGATTAATAATATCAACAACAATGAAAATGGGGGAAGGGGATTTAGAAAACAAGGGAGGGAGGCCAGAGAGAAGGCAATTTCAAAAAAAGAACCAAGCTGTACTAATGTACATGTACGACTCTTGAAGATGATTGTAAACTGCATTATTGCAAATATGTACTAATAAAACAAACAAAAATAAATAAATGTATGTATGTGATGGGTCATACTTCTGTTTTTAATGGAATAAGGCCATCCTGTATAGTAAAGGTAAGCAATGTTCTGTAAAACTTGTTTTATTTTTTATATATGCATATGTTATGGGTTAAAATGTACATTTCTAATTACGGGTCTTGGTCTAAAAGTTAGAAAACATAACTGTGATGGCTAATTCTGATTATCAACTTCACTGAATTAAATGCCTGAGGTAGCTGGATTATGAGGGCATTAATCTCATTAACAGCTTAACATGTGGAGGAGTTAATTGGTGAACAGGCTATAAGGAGATGGGGCTTGGTTAGAGGCATTAGGTCACTGGGGTTAGGCCTCTGAAGGGTATCTCTTTCTCTGGCTCTTTCCATCTCTGTTTCCCAAATGCCTTGAAGACAGCAGCTTTCCTCATGACATCCTTCCACCATATTGCCTCTGCCTTGGAGCCAGTTGCCCATAGACCAAAACCTCTGAAACTGTGAGCCACAATAAATCTTTCCTCCTTTCAGTTGTGTAAGTCAGTCCAACCAATGGAAAGCTAATACAATAATCCTAATGAGTATAAAGAGTCTCCTAAATTTTCCTGTAAGATAAAAAGTATTTAATTTCTCACACTTAAACTTTGTTTTTTTTTTTTTTTGGTATCGGGGATCGAACTTGGGACCTTGTGCTTGTGAGGCAGTCGCCGGAACCAATGACCTAAATCCCTGGCACCCTCACACTTAAACTTTGTATTTACCTGGAATTTAACTTCTG